TAAGAGAAAAATATGAAATATATATGTAAATGTATGTATGTATACCTGTTAAAATTACCGAATGTTCACCTGGATGACAACAATTTTTTATTTACAGTTTTCTTTTTTTTTTTTGCATTATATTAGTATATCAATTACTGAGAGTTCACAGAGTTAGATTAAACTAAATCTCTTTTTTTTTATGTTCAATTCATTCTAATGCAATAATGAATATAAAAATAGAATAGATTTTAGTAAATATGTCACCAATAACAATATTCCTCTATAAAACTTTCTAGTAAATAGATTAACAGTTTTGTTTTTTACAATTCGTACTTATACTTATATGTATATAAAAAATATTGCACTGACAATAAAATTTCAGCTGCGTTAAATTTTAATAATTGAAACTAAGCAATAATATTTTTTTTTTATAAAAGTATTATAAAATTTTTCGAGATGAAACTCAAGCTAAGTTATAAGGAATTAATAGAATTTTTAATTACATGTTTATTAGAGGTATAAGTGTTATAAATACATGAGTATTAAAGTACAGTCATTAAATTTGTTGTATGTATACAGTTCCATATGGTAAGGTGAAAATATTTTTTAATGAGAGATGTATAAAATTCTTAGAGCTATTGAGCTTTGTATTTTATAGCTGTGATGAAGTCGATTTTAAGTCGACGAAAAAATTCTCAATTCAATATAAACACACAAAAAGTCTGGTTCTGCCTTATTCGGTGCTCTAGGCGGTTTCCAAAATAGCGCCTCCCCTCTCTTCCTCAACGCTTTTAAATAATTTAACAATATCCAATAAACTACGCAAATTGCGCATAATAAATCACTTTCTTTCAGCTTTATAAAGCTGAATGCAAGATTAGCCGTGGAATTGAAGCCAGGAATTAAACTTTCTTGATTTGTGTTTTACGCTACGGTTGTTAATAGGTGCATATTATCAAGTGAATTTCGTTGTAAAAAGAAACATAAAGTTTTTCGGAAAACACGCCTTTAAGTTTTCGAAGGTGGTGGTGTTTTCCGGCCAAGCTGATGCGCCATTGCATAAATTGCTTAGATATTGCAAATTTTTATTTAGTAGCTGTTATGTAGAATGAAAGATGTTTCTTCATTTAATCTTGAATATGCACTAAATTTGTATATATTTATGATCTATAATAGAAAATATTTTATTACGCATTTTTGTTATCGAAATTTTGTCAATCTTTTTAGTTATACTTCTGACAAGCTTATAAGTTATAGTTTCTTCAGAAAATTCTTGAAACCTACAATCCGCTACAGTTCACTAATGTAAAATTTCAGTAAAAATTCCTCTTAGACGACTTGAGTACTAATTTTTCTTTTTTTTTCTTCATTGACTTGAAAAAAATTTTATTGACAAATTTGTTTAAACAGTTGAGGTGTTTTCTTGTGTTTTGAACACAAATTGTTTATATTTTTTTCTTGTTCTGTAACTTATTGTTAAGCTTCTTCATTTTAATTAAAAAAAAATAAATAAATAAATAAATAAATAAATGATGGTTTTAGTTTCTTTAAAATTTTAAAAACGTAGAATTGTAATAATTGTTTCATATATAAAAAGTCTTAATATTTTTGTGTTTAAAAATTTTTATACTTGTTATGAAATGTAAATATGAAATTCACTACAAAAAAAGAAAGAACACTCATAATTATAATTTAAATAAGTAAATATTTTTATTTAAATATTAGATTTAGGCACAACCATATCCGTAAAAAAAATTTATGAATACGTGTACTCATATAAATCTTTATAGAGTTATTATTATGTACTTGTATATAGATTGAAAAATTAAGCCTTTATTCATTCAACAATGTTTTCCAAATCTAATAAATCCGTATCCAAGTATTTATCCGTACCCAACTAATTATTCAAGTAACAGTGTTTAAAATCTTTTTGAGCTCAATGAATGTTTTAATATAAGAAATAATCAATTCGACAACGCACATACACATACATATGTATTAATCGTTTATATTATGTGCTTCGGTTTTAAAAAGTGCAAGTTGGTCGAACTATATTGAAATTTGTTAAATAGGTTCACCAACTAAACAATAAACTGTTTAGTTGGTGAATTTAGTTGGGCGTTTAGAAAAATGTCCTTAATTCATACGTCCTTAGTATGTATGCATATTTAACTGTGTTGGACTTTAACTTATGAGATAAAATTAAAACAGTAGAAGACTTGGAGACACGAATAGGAACAGCGTCAAAATTACAGAAGTAATGCAGCAGATATTGATGTCTATGGAAATTAAAAATGTAGTACTCGATTAAAATTATTTGCGACCTTATTTGCAAAACACCCTGTATACGTATATATGTATTTCTACAATAAATTATGATACAATTTCTTATTGTGAATAGTAAAGTGCAAAACGATATTTATGTTAAAAGTATACGACAAAACAATTAAAAGTTTGCTTGCGCTAACGAACTCAATAGACATTGTTATAAATTCTGTTTGTGAAGTAGACCTGTCAAGTTCGGAAAATTTGACATCCTTCGATTACCATGTCAGAACAGGAACACCTGACAGCTTTAATCATATTTTTATTCATTACAAATTTTTTTTCATCTTATTTTATTGATCATATAATTACCGTTTCGTGAACTCTAACAGTATATTTATATTTTAAACTATATTTTGGCTCTGTCGATAATATTATTTTTCTCAAGTTTTTAATTTTTCATAGTACAACTACAAGTATATGTAATAGAAATTTTACATTAGATAAACTTTTAGACAACTTTTTTTACATTAAATAAACATACCTGCTTCAAATTTAAAAATCAGTGAATAATCACATTACTCTCTTTCTTCTTTTATTTGTTTTAGTTTATCGCAAAACTAAGTTATTTATTTTAAATGAGTTACATAATGTATACTGCCGGCTATATGAATAAACACTCAACGTTTGAACTTTAAAAGCTAGAATTTGTTTTAATTTTATAAGCGAAAGCTTTTTGAGCTGATAGCCGTATAATCAAGTACAACATGATTTTTAAAAATTTTACGGTATCGTAAATGAGCGTAGCAGGTAAATAAAAACAAATTTATCAATAATAATTTATAAATAGAAATTCTTATTGCTTATAAATGGTGTTATTATAAAGGTCGTTGCTCATGTGTGTTTGAATAATTAACCGGTGTTGTGAAGCAAACATTTAAGTTTCAATAATTTTGATTTTGTTTTTAGTTTTTCTAATTTAGTTTAAGTAAACTAATTTCTTAATAAAAAACGTTTAAATTCAAAGCCTTTAATTTGAAAGAGTAAAGTTCGTAATCAGGGAATTCTATGATTGTTTTGAATATTGTTATAACGTATTCAATATACATATACGTATACATATGTACTTATATTGTAAGGGCGAAACGGGCTAGTCTTACATTTTGAAATTATATTTTTTTCAAAAAGTTAAACGGTAGAACATGGCCTAATTGAATTTATATAATGCTTGATTTATAATGAACCTTTTAATTAAAACTAATAAACTGCAAGTGTCGTCTAATCATTATCTCAGAATAAATAATTAATCGTTATAAAAACCTATTATTCCCATTTCTATGTACGTATGTACATACAAATGTACGTATGTACATGTGTGCATGAAAAAATTAATAAAATGTAATAATTAGAAGAAAAATTAGAGAACTTGAGCTGTTAACCTATAACCTAGTAAGTAGTAAACTATACTAATTCAATCATATGCTCGATAAAATTACGCAGGGTTGGGTTTAGTTTTCTTATAGTGCACTTGAGTATTTCGCTTAAACATATTGATCAGTTTTTGCTCTCTTTTATGATTCTTAAGTAATGATTGAATTTAATAACTTGGTTATGGTTTGAGGTTGTTTACCTTGAAGTTTTTTAGCAATTTTTTAAATAAAAAATAATTAATATGTTATAGTTCGAATTACCAATTTGGTGTGATTGCAAAACATAAGAATGTTTGTAATAGTAAACATTTTTTCCAAGAATTTCATTCATTTTATTTAGGAACAATATTTTCATTTCTAATTATTTATATTATTATTTAGATTTTAAAATAGTTCTATAATTTTATTCAAGCAAGTTTTGCTATATTTTAAATAATTTTTAATTTAAATTCAAAATTATTCAAAATATTTGTTTTTCTACTATCAAATATAAAATAATATGCCTATATTTACAATTCAAGTAGTTTTCATACATGTGTATACATGTATACATATTTGGTATACATATAAAAGAAGCAAAAAAAATCTTTACAAATAAAAATTTTTACAAGTTTATTATAAGCTTCAAATTGTTAATTGCAAAAAAGACTATACTTAATATTGCTACACTTACCCCCTAAATTAGTACTTTAAAAGAATTTCAGACCGTCCAATCAATAATATTTAATTTTTTTGATCGAGGAACGGTATTCGTTTCGAAATATTTGTTTATTATAAATATCAAACTGTAAACTTATAAACCGTATTTTAAAATATGCATGAATAATAATCAAATACTCTGTAGTTTGCCTTAGTTAGAAGTGAAACTATTGTAATCACTCCGTGACTTATTCGTGCTTTTTACGAATATAGTAAACAACACTTGTATTAAATGATAAGCATGCATTACAGTAATTAATCATAAATATGTTTGCATGTGTTAAAATGCATATGCTATATTGTAAATGTTGTGAGAAAATTCAAAAATAAATTATCAGTTCAATAATATTGTAAATAATTAATTTTATATTGTAGGTCATATAATTTTAAATATTAAAATTATTATTTTATACACTTATATATTATATTTCACGTGATATTTCTGCAACAAAATTAAAATCTAATTTTTTATAATTTTGAATTGGATAAAATACAATTATAATATTAATAATAAAAATAAAATGTTGTAGATAATTCATGCAGCGTAAAAATTTTTTACTTTATTAATTCTTATTTAGTTTAGATAGCGTAAAGCTTTCAAAAATTTGGAATTAAAGTTGAAATTATATTTTAGTAGAACTTTAGAAATGGAACTATTAAGTAGTCAATGTGCTGCTCAAAGTGCTGGGCCGGGTAATCAATTTATAACTTTACTAATTCAAACTTTAATTTCATCATATTGTAATGTGTCATCGCCTGAAAATTGGCCACAAGATTATGGTTCTCAAGTATTAGAGAATAATATAGATTTGGATTTTGATTTTGTTGTTGTTGGAGCAGGATCCGCAGGTTCGGTAGTCGCAAGCAGATTATCAGAAAATCCAAATAATAGAGTATTGGTATTAGAAGCGGGCGGAGATCCACCATTTGAATCTGAGGTAAAATAAAACAATATCGTTTATAAAAAGTGAAAATATGATTAAATTTGAATTTTTATTAGTTTAAAAAAACACTGGTGTGATTTATGTATATTGATTTGTTATACAACCGAAATAAATAAATTTATCTACATAAGCGGTGAAGAAGTGTTTTAAGATTAAAAGTTTGATATTAAAAATATGTTAACGCATGAAATAACATTTTTAATCGCATGACTTTAATTTTCAATAAAATATTATTTAAGACGATTGTATAATCTTGAATGTACAATATCTACTTTTAAATTTACAGATACCGTATTGGTTTTTTTTGTTACAACATTCCGGTTATGATTGGCAATATTATACTGAACCAAATGAGAAATCTTGTCAAGGGCAGAAAACTAAGACATGTTATTGGCCGAGAGGAAAACTCCTTGGTGGTTCTGGGGCAATAAACGCAATGATTTCAATACGCGGCAATAGAAAAGATTTTGACAAATGGGAAGAAGCTGGAAATCCTACATGGGGATTTGATGATCTTTTACCTTACTTTATGAAAACAGAAAAAACTTATGCCGATGCATTTTTAGATGTAACAGAAAGAGGTACTGATGGCCCACAACCAGTATCTAAATTCTCTGCGGCTACACCAAACATAGAAATTGCCGCCGATATGGTAATTGAAGCTGCTCAAGAGCTTGGTTTAAAGTATATAAATGATTATTCTGAAAATAACGGCTATATTGGATTTTTTAAAGCATTCACTACATATTACCAAAGAAGACGTTTCAGTACAGCCAAATCATTCTTATTACCAGCTTCGAAACAACCAAATTTAAAAGTAATTAAACATGCACATGTAGAAAAAATTAATTTTGACGAGAATAAAAAAGTGAAAAGTATTGATTTTGTTTACAAATCCGCACACAAAATGACTGTTAATATTAATAAAGAAGCAGTGTTATCAGCTGGTACAATTGGTACACCACAAATTTTACAATTATCTGGGATAGGATTAGAAAAAGATTTAAAAAAAGTTTCCATTCCAGTTGTTCAAAATTTGAATGTAGGAAGAAATCTTCAAGATCATGTTATAGTTCCAGTACACTTTAAAATACATAAATCAACAGCTTTACCTTTTGATCAAAGAATTATTCTTGATGAATTGTATGGTGTTCTTACAGGAAAATCAACTTTACTCTCTCAAGTAGGTTTAGCTGGTCTTTGTGGTTTTATAAATACCAAAAGTCAAAACGGTCCTTATCCTGATATTGAATATCATTATTTTTTATTCGCAAAACAAGATGAACTTGGTATACGTACTCTTTTTAATATAATTGGCTATAAAGATGAAATTATAAATTCTGTTGTTGAAGAAAATAAGGAAGGTGAAATTTTAATAGTATGGGCTGTACTTTTAAATCCTGAATCTAGAGGAAAAGTTGTAATAACAAGTCCTGAATATACTGATAAACCAAAAATATATGCAAACTATTTTGATAAAAATTCAGATCTCGAAACAATTATCAATGGAATAAAATTCCAAACAAAATTTTTGAACACAAAATCATTTAAAAATAATGAAGCGGAATTAATTAAAATAAATTTACCCGAGTGTGATAAATATGATTTTCAATCAGATAAATATTGGAAGTGTTACGTTAAGCAAATGTCTTCTACTGTATATCATCCAGTTGGTACAGCCAAAATGGGACCTAAAGAAGATAAGAAGGCTGTTGTCGATCCAGAACTAAAAGTTCATGGTGTTGATGGATTAAGAGTATGTGATGCTAGTATCATGCCATTTGTTGTTAGTGCAAACACAAATGCTGCGACAATAATGATTGGCGAAAAATGTTCCGATTTTATTAAAAAAACTTACGACTCAAGTATAAAAGATGAGTTTTAAATGGTAAATTTTACAATGGAACTGCAAAATATTTGTGTTGGTAAATAATTTTTATAGCGTCACGGTCAATGATTATAAATTTTTGGGAATTTTATAATTCAAAAATTTAAAATTTATTATTAAATATAAATTTTATTTTAATTTATTAAATATGTTGTTTTTATTAGATTATTTGTATTCTTTATTTAGTTCGCAAATATTAGTTAAGGTTGATAATTTTTTTTTATAATAGCAAACGTACGGTGAAAACCGGTAACATTATATTTTGTATAAAACTTTTGTATATTACAAGATTACGAGAGATTCTCGAAATAATTTTGTTTTTTGAATTTGTGTATTAAGAATTTGTACACATGAAAAGCTTTTTAAAAGAAAAACTTAAAGCTAATAAAAATTGTGTGAATTTTATTTATAGTTTTATATAATTTAATTTTCAAGCTCGTTCTGATTGAATTAATCATAAAAGTAAAGTTAAATCAAGTCGTGGAATAATTTTTAATTAATTGTTGTATGTCAAAGGCTAATTATATTCTGGAATACCTTATTCAGTCTTTGAAAATTATTTTCGATTAGACATTGTTAGACTAATACTATTAGTATAATATTACTATAGATATAAATACATATACATACATTCAATTGTTTAGTTCAAAGAATTTAATTTTAAATATAAGAGAAGGCAATAAAATTTTGTCAACTATTCAAAATTTTAAAAGTTTAATTTATAAACTTGAATTTGAATTAACGACATTATTTGAATGACTTTTCAAAGTTTTAATAAACTTTCCGAGTAACAAAAAATTCATTAAGTGTTACGTAATAATAAAAAGTGTTTAAGAGCTTTTTAAGATTTTTAGTTAAATAGACAATTTATAATATTTTTTTTAAATTTTTAAAAATTTCTAAGAGAAGTTTTTTTTTCTCGTTTTGTGTATAACAAAAAAGTGTTCAGAGTCCAAAGATTTGCAACTTTCGATCCATCAGTGTATAAGTGGCATATACTTGTAGAATGTGGATATTTCTGAATAATATGATTTAGGAGTTGCCAATTATAACTAAACCGTGTAATTTTCTTTAAATATGAATTGGATTAAGAAAAATTAGATTAAAAAAAATTCTACCTGATAAATTTTCATATACCAGCTTTAAAGCTGTTGAAGTTAATGTAATGCGCTGTTTGCAACTTGTTCCTTTGCGAATGATCTATATAACAACTTGCAATATAACAAATTCAATGTAAAAATACAAAAACGTAAAGTATAACAGATTTCGATGTATCATTAATTTTAAAATTCTTCTTGTGAAATTGAAAAGTTATGACGTGATAATATGGAAAGCATGTCTAATAAGTTAAGTCAAGTATATCAAAAAATTTGTAGTTTACAATTTTTTAAATAAAATTATGTAAAGTGTTTCTTTAGTAAAACTTTAGGTTTGAGTATCACCACAAGAAATTTTTATATCTTATTTTTCTTCTTTTATTATTAACCGTGGTATCCAAGTTATTCAAACATGTTGCCAGAACCTCTTTTTTATATATTTTTATTACTACCGTATATTTGGAGTCTTCTTATTATATATAATTAACAAAAAATTCACATTTATTTTTAATAATTTAAATATTTTATAGCTTTATTATTATTTATTTTACAATATTTACAAAAGCAATTGCCAATCATTTATTCATTAGCCTTTAAATAAAATATGGCTTTGTATATAGTTTTAATTAAGATTAAATGATGAAAAATGTTAATTTATATTATACTAAAAACTCTTAACAGAAACTAAAGGCAATGAATTTTCTTATATAATTATACATACTTGATATTTAATACATACTTTTGATAGAAAATTGTTTTTAAAGAATATTTTGAAAATTTTTTTGTTAAACTTACTGTAAATTATTCGAAAAGAATTTTTATTTTTTTTTATTTAGATAATTAATAATAAATATTCTTTGCGGTTTCGTTCTTTTGTGTTTCTTGTTTTTTTTAAATATAATTAATAATTTTATAAATTTTTTAGCAATAATTTCCTAATCTATGAATGTGAATGACTTAAATGATGTGCTCCCAAAGGATGAAAATATGGACTGTATGGAGGATATGGTACAGCATGTGGATAAAGTAAACTGGTGGCATAAGCACCTGGACCAAATGAACTACTTGATGGTGGTGGAACAGTTGGACTATTAACATCCATTCCAGGATTTTGTTTTTTCCATTTAGTTCGTCTATTTTGGAACCAAATTTTTACCTATTTGTATAAATAAAAATATAAAATATTCTATGTAAAATATATTTATAATTCTTTTTAATAATTTTAATTTTAAATATATTATGAATGGAGAAATTCTTCAAAACCAACCAAAAATTTTACAAAATAAAACACAAATCGAAATAATTCTTAGAAAATAATCAACAGTTTAAATAAGTAATCATGTATTAAACTCACCTGCGTTTCAGTTAAACTTAAACTAAGCGCTAAATTTAATCTTTCACATACTGATAAATATCTAGTTGTTTTAAATTTATTTTCTAATGATACTAATTGCTCATAAGTGAAAGCCGTTCTAGCTCGTCTCGGTTTTGAATTACTAGTATTATTGCCACCATTTTGATTTTTACTATCTGTTGAACTGCCATGTGAATTACGACTTTCACCTTTTTTAGAATCAGTTTCACTTGTTCGATCATCCATATCACTATCATCACAAATATCATCTTGATCCATTTCTGTCACATCGTGAGCTTAAAAATTAAAAAAATTTCATTAATTAAAAAATGTTAAAATAGTTTTATTTTTTTGTATGCATAAATGTTATTTAAAAATTTTTTTTAAATTTAAGTTTACGTCTATAGTCTTTTACGTCTATAAACTTTTCAGCACTTTTTCAAAAAAATATTAGAAAAAATGCTTATTAGTTTCACTCTGTCTGTTTGTCCTCGAACCCTTTAAGATAAACAGCTAAAATTTTACATATAAATAGATCTTTAAAGAAATTTTACCTATGTCCCCCCTCTAAAAGTTATAGCGACTTATGAATTTCTTCTGATGCTATATGGCATAGTTTATCTTTAAAAAAACAAAATGGCCGTTAAAATAAGCCGTTATCTAAAATCTCTTTTTTTTTTAGATTTTTGATACTGGTTTTCATAAATTTGCTGTTATGGTGACGTTTCTTTCATTTTTTTTTCATCCCAAATGTATGCAATTTTTTTAAATATTTTTTTATATAAATGAAAGTATCTAATTTAGATAATGGAATTAATTGTTTCTAATAACAGTTGTTGAATGGGAAATTTCACAAATCATTTGTTGGACCCAACATTATTAAAGATAATTTCACATTGGAGTGGTTTATTTAAAGTCAAAATGTCTCCAATTATACATTCAAAAATAAATTTTCTGAAGCTGCAATCGGCGCCGGGTTGTCAATAACAGCAAGAGGTTTCAAGTGCCATAAAGCAAAATGTAGATTGAAAATGCATTCCAAATGTATTTTTAAGAAATATTAATGTGGAATATTAATAGTGTGAATGAAATGCAAAAAAACTGAGTACATTTGACCTTGACAAACAACTTTATTTTTCAATTTTATTCCTTCATCAAAAATCGAATCATAATGCTATAGGAACCGAAACATAATTTAAAAGTAAATCCTTGAAATTGATATTTTAAAAATATTAACCAACGTAAAGCTAATATTACCACACCTACAAAAGGACTCCTGTGGTTATAGAAATATGTTTTACATTATAATTATATGTATACATAAAATACATAAAATAAAATATTCGTTAATAATTTAACATAATTTAATATGTATAGAAAAATAATAAAAAGTAATTTTTCTCAGATATTCAATAATATAATATTGTGCACGAAAATAACATTATCCTTTTAAGGGTTGTTAAATCAGTTCAAATCAGTTCAATGAGTTGTTTTTTCCTTTTCTTGTCATTCCTCTAATAATTTGTTTTGCTAAAATAGATTTCATTTAAATCGAAATCTTAAAAAAGGGGATAGTTAATTTACTAAAATTCTGATTGAATACTTTGTATTCTGGTCAACAAAATTTCAATCTACATAATGTATATATATTATATCTAATATATATTAAAAAGACCTACTATAGAGTTCAAAATGACAATCGTATATAAACAAAAGAAAAAAGGGGGAAACTGATCTAGAATAACAAACAGACCAGGTGATATAGATGCTATTTAATATTGACATGAGGAAGTATTCTCAAGAGGATTATATTAGGATAAATATAATTTGGCTGCAATAAAATGGACAACGTTGTGGACAGATTAAATGACATTAATAATGGGTATATTTTATATCATATATCATGCATTGATTTTCAAATGGTAGATTGGAAAAAAACTCGAAAAATGAACTTATGTTGTAAGAGTTTACAAAACTTTGGTTTTTGCGTATGCTCTGAAGTAATAAATATTTTGTGATATATTCGTCCGGTAAATGGAAAATTTATGTACCTATTCCATTATGTGAATAGTGTTGTCTATTATATGACAATGCATAGTTTCTGTGAAATCTAGTGCTTCAAGTTATCACTTGCCTTTTGATTGGCTTTTCATTTAAAATGGTTTAGGAAAAAAGTTTTAGCTACCTCAACGCTTAGCATCCATACTGTGAAAGCAAAATCGTTTACCATTGACACTCTAATATGGCCTTGTATGAGATGCTGAACTATGCTAAGGTAAAGTGTTGCCAATCAAAACAAAAATACAGCGTGACAGTTCAAGGTTATTATAAATGGAGTGCTACACAAAATGACAACATTTTATGTTATTGTTATTGTTTAACAATATTTTGTAAATAATTAAAGTTTTTCGAGCAAAATCATCTTCCGCAATGAGGTTCATTTTTATCTTGATAGCTTTGTTAATCAACAAAATGACCTGAACCGCAAGGTTCATAAAATTCACAAGTGATTGTTGAGAAACAAAAGCATTTATTACTTATCACTGTTTGGTACGAATTTTGGATTTGGAGCATCATCGGACCATTCTTAATCGAAAATCCAGCTCGTCAGACAATAACTGTTAATGGTGCTCGCTATTGAGAAATGATAATCCAGTTTCTTGTGCCAAAATTACAAAATATGGATGTGGACCGCATTTGGTGTCAACAAAACGGTGCCACATGCCATACATTTACTGGTCATGCAATTTCCCGTTTGAAACTAAATGGCATAGTTTATTTGCACACATACGTTTGTGAGTGGGTTTATTACTTTAATATACTTACTTTTTTAGTAGTATACTACTTTATACTTTAAATAACATATACTATATTTACTTTCTGCGAGTTTTTACTTATCTTTTATTTCATAAATTCTATACAGTAGCAGTTATTGCACTAGTATTTCTCTACAATCCATGCTGGGCAGTATATCTCTCTTACATACGTTAGAATATGTTTTTATTTTATAATAATCAAATCTCAACTACTCATAATGTATACTCTTTATATACTGCCATAAATATAATGAATTTAATACTACTTTATTTTTAAAACTTGTTTAAAAATAAATGCCTACTTAAAAATTGAGGTTAACCCATTAAAATCACCATATTATTTCTGTTAATCAAAAAAAAAGTCAATAAAAAAAAACAAAATATTTTTTCTTTTATTACCGTATTAATTTTATCAACTTAATTAAACATCCACTTTTAAAATAATGATGAGCTCCTAATTCTTTTCAAAAGGAATCAATTTTAGCTCAAACTGTCCAAAAAATTAATTTAAATTGCACCTGTTAATTAATCTAATAATTAGCATTAAAGCTTCATTAAATATTTAAGTAGATTTTGATGTGGTTCAATCGTCTGAAATTCAACAATTTATTTATATCAATTTACTATCTATATATATATATGCATGTATGTATGTGTACATATATATATTTCATTATCATCATTATCAATATCATCACAATTCATTTTTAAAATTCTTAATTCATTCCCATTCCGTCATCATTTTTAAAAAGTGTGCTCGCAAAATGAGAGTCCGATGTATGGTTTGTGTGTGATTATAGACCATATATGCACATAAATAAAATGTATACCAGTTTATTTTATTCAGTTGATTGGTTTTAATACTAGATAAAAACAAAATAATTTTGTTTGTACTTGCATTGAGTCAATGCACACATAAATGCATTACATTAACCGTAATTATTACGGTTTACGAAATAAGAAAAATAGTCTATATATAGCTATACAGTTGAGTGACCGCATTAATGAATGTTTATATAAGTGAATGTATGTATCTACATACATACGCTTTGTAAAGATATTTTTCGTATTTTATTTTACCCCCGATTTCTCATTTTCACTTTTAAGTTCAACATATAAATTGAAAATGTTTGTTATTTCAATAGAATTTTTCAATTAAATCTATGCCTGTGATTAAATGTCCATATTATGCAATTTTTATTGATTTTAATGTTTTTTATTTTTTTTTGTTGTTATTTCATTTCGCCAAATTAAATTGTCATAAAACTTTCGTGTTTACACTCCTTAAATAATAAATGAATCCTGTCTATACTAGCTTAATATGCAAACGTATAATAAATTTAAATTGCAATATATTATATGTGTTTGTGTATATGTGTATATGGAAAAATTCAAATTTTTTGAAAATTTATTATAAATGTACATAAGTCTGTATCTTTGCACATATATATTCAGTTTTCCATTTAAATTAATGTAGGTCTACGTAATTACGTTCAAATCATATGAACAAATAATTTATACGTTTACTTGCAAAATAGCCAATTGAATTTATTTCAGAATTGTGTGTGTATAGGGAAAAAAATAAAGATTTTATTTTATTCAAACACAATATTAAAGCATTGACAACTAATCATTAATCTTCTTTTTGAATCAAATGAACTAAAGAAAATTGCAAACTACATACATGTAGATGCGTCACAAAAATATTCAATTTACATACAAATTTTAAGGAGAGAAGAAAACAAATTTATAAATGTGAATTATTTTCTGTCAAAAATCAAATTTTTTTGTTATTTTAGAAAGTCAAGTATGTATTCTTAGCCGTTGTTACTTGAAATTTTTACAATTGAATGGAAGAATCCAAATTAGTTCGGCTGACAGTTAATCTATAAATTTGGTTAGCTTATGTTCCAAACTTACTTTTACAACATAGCGATATTTTCTTCAGTGCGACTGAAGTGTTATTAAAATAGAAATTTTTCAATAGAAAAAATTTGTGGGTTGTGGGTACAGCATAGTAAATAATAAGCAACATGGGAGCTTTGCTCATGCTGTAAGTAAAATATGTTAAAGACATCTAAAGGCAAAATCGTTAGACGAACAAGTCTTTTATAAGCTCTATCTAAGGAAACAAAAAACCAATACCATAATACATTTAAATTTAGGCACTAACTAACATGCAGAAGAATGCAGAAAAAAATGTGTGCAGAAGAAGCTTATTTGTCAAAATTATTAAGTTTTAGCTAAAAGTATTTAAGACAAATAAAATTTTTGTTTAATTTTCATTTCCTTTTGCATTGTGAAGGACTTGAAATCAGTTTTTTACTCGAATTCTAACTAGAATATAAAAAAATTTGCGTGCTATTAATACTTAAGAAGAAAAAATTTCGAGAAAATTCCGTGAAATCATTTTAAGAATTATAAAAAGAAACACTCAATTTATTTTATTTTGTCATCCATTGTTTCCAAAGAAAAGACAT